GACAATAACTACGCTATATAGATCTCATAGCCTCCGATAGGTGGCGGTAGAACCCAGAGCAAGAAGCCACAAAGTTACTAGACTTCTAGTACTGCTAACCTTATTAAGCTTTCCAACTATGGTGATAACTCTCTACTGTGGAAGAAGCTCATAATATCAGTAGAATATTACTGGTGTACAGTGCATAGTAATATACATAAGGAAGGATGAAGAAAATAAATATAATTAATGATGCAGAACTTTTCTGGAAAAGAAAGTAAAAAAAAAATAAAGTAGACGAATTTATCACGACAAACATGAATAAAATTCCATAATTTAATTTGATTCTGTTCTTTGAATCTACCTTGAATCTAAACTGCATTACAGAGGAGTAATCGATACCTCGTTTCGCAATCAACTAGGCTTTTGCTTTAATATATAATAAGCACGTGATATTGAAACAAGTTTGTTCTATTTCTAGAAAAGGTATTTTCCCTTACATATTTTAAAAGAAGTAAGGGCCAGTGATGACTTACGGAACTGAGACGTGGTCCTTCACTGCTGGCCGTATGAGGAAGCTCAAGGTCGCTCAGCGAGCTATGGAGAGGGCTATGCTCGGAGTTTCTCTGCGTGATAAACTTAGGAATGAGGATATCCGCAGTAGAACCAGAGTGACCTACATAGCCCAACGGATTAGTAAGCTGAAGTGGCAGTGGGCCGGCCATATAGCTCGAAGAACCGACAACCGATGGGGAAGAAAGGTTCTCGAGTGGCAGCCTCGTACCGGTAGGCAAAGTGTAGGGCGTCCCCCCACGAGATGGAGTGACGACCTGGTAAGACATGCAGGAAGTCGATGGATGCAGGTGGCTCAGGACTGTGCTTTGTGGCATTCTTTGGGGGAGGCCTATGTTCAGCAGTGGACTTGTGAAGGGCTGTAATGATGATGATGAAGGGCGAGAATGACGACACTGGCTACACAGCTGTCTCTGCTGTCAGACTGTGTGACCCTGTTACAAAGCAACTTGTCACCTCGTAGGACTTAGTGCTCAGACGCACTATGCGGTTACCCGCAAGCCGCTTCGGTCGCTCGCAGGGTTGCGGCCCGAATGACGGCCAACCGGATGGTTGCTATTCGCACTGTGCGGTTCAGTTTGCGGCTGTCCGCCATTGAGTGAGATTGTGTGCACATGCTACTTTTATGATGGCTATTAAAAAAATTATCTTTGAAATCTTCTCTCTTTGTTATTTCTCCTTTACGTAACGTGTGTAAATGTAGGAAATATCTAAGATGTTTTTAAAAGTATAGATACGTTATACTCGCTCTAAAATGGCAATACGAAAGTCAGGTAATTGTTCGACTCACATTAAGTCGGACACGCTCTTGCGTCGCGGCTATACCTTCGCTACAGCGTGTAAATCTTCTAGTTATTTGTGTCATAATGTGTGTCATAATATCATTTGTCTCTTTTTGTTAGCGCAACGTGTCATAATAAATAACTGTACGTAGATATAGTACTACCTGCGCCACTTCAAAATACAATAATGTTACTGTGTAACCTGTCTACCTTTTTTAATACGTCTTTGGGAAATAGCTGCAACTTCTTCCACGTCCATCTTTCAAATGAATCGATTGGACCGCAAATCGCAACGGTTAACTGTAAGTTGCGGTCGTGAATTCGGCTGCCCGCAATCCAGGTGGCCGCATTCGCAACCGCATCTTGCGGTCAGTCGGACGGCTAGCCGTATTGCGGTTACCCACATAGTGCATATGAACACTACGAGAAAATGCCTCATCACCAGTAAAATAATATGGGTGTCTATTATTACCCTTACCGTTACCGTTACAGCCTACTAAAGTCCACTGCTGAACATAGGCCATTATAGTGATAGTTGCCACGCTTGGAAACCGCAGTTTTTAATTTTAGTCGTTATGAGGAAGACGTTGTTGCCCATCTCCTGACTTGTTTCCCCTCTGTCGCCTGGATATTCTTACACCACTACTACACGGTCCTATTATTAACTAAATTAAATCCAAACCCAATAATACCAGCAAGATTTCAAGATACTTTTAACTAGTTCTGCGTAGATCTAACCAAAAATTAATATTCAATAGCTGAAGGTTTCTCCCGTTATCCTTGACATCGGGACTATAAGCACCTTAAACTCCTCCGTGACCATGTCACAAATAAAAATAATAAAAATTAAACGCGATTCGTAAAAGTAAATTAATTCAAAATCAAAGTGATGAATGAAATGATGAATCCATGGAGGCAGACTGACCGTGAGTATAATGTATTTTAAGCTATAACAAAAACTATTCCTGAGTAGTTCCTCTTTGATTCTGACCTAAATCTATCCAAGTTTGCAAGATTTATTACACAAGCTTAAATATTAAATATCGGATATAAAAAAAAAATTTAAACTTCCAACACTATGTTAAATATAATAATTTATAGTCATCTATAGAATAAACCAATCTCCGACCCCTGGCCTAATGAGGTGTGTTATAAAAATAACTGATAAATCTCATTAACGATTTATAATGAACAGTAACAAGCTCGTTTAAGTTGAAACTTCGCAATGAATTTCGGTATTATTTTCCGAGCTTTAAAAGCAGTTAACATGAATAACGTGCTGATAAAATAATTATTAACTTTTAATTTATGAGCGTCGCAGTCTATTGTATTTTAGATACCTATATCATGTACTAGCGACGCACCCCGGCGTCGCCTTGATAGGGTATATTAATGTGGCGTTATTTAGATTTAAGATAATGAAAGACCACATTTCATAATTTTTTTGACTTTATGTGGTAGAGCCATGCTGCAGCTATATTAGTAGTATGGTTGTAGCACATTTCTCATTTCTCATCTTCAACATTTCTCAGCCGGTCCCAAGCCCGGATGAGAAAGGAGGAGGGGACGAATCCGCCGGAGAGAGTGGGTGTATCCGGTGGACTAACACACCCACCTGCGCTAGGACCTGCGCAGTCGAGCGCCGTACGCGGGGATGAAGGAGTCCTGGAGGGTTGAGCCGATCGTCGCTGGGGTATATAGTGGCGAGAGGCAACACGCCCTCTTTGGTCCGGATTTCAAGCTAAACGGTGGCCCTATCTGCTAGCCACAGATAGGGAAATGGCCAAGCGCCCCGTCAGAGGGTCGCAGGCGAGGGATGTGGGGGCTGCCTAGTCTTCCTGAAAAGGGGGCTGGGTGGTGGTAAAGGCCATGCTGACGGAGCAAGTGACAGTTTATTCGGGTGGTGGGGATGGGCCTTGTCAGCCCCATCTACCAGCTGGATCGAGCTCCCGATGTCGCGCTGTGAGCCAACTTCGCGTCCCTATATTCTCCCGGTAATCCTAACGCCTGAAATTCCTAAAGTAGGGCGTTCCCAAAGGTGCGGGCTCCATGGAGGGTGGGAAGCCGGGGGGATGAATTTTAAAAAACACAAATTATGGACAATTTAAGGCCCAATAAGAAGGAGGGAGAGGTGTCAGAGGTGCTTACCAGAGACACCAAAGAACAAAAGGGAACCGTCACTAAACCGACGGTTCCACGGACAGTACCGTCCAGCGTAGGTGCCCCCACCAAAGGGATAACCTCGCTGAACGTTTCCAAAACCAGTTCCAAGGAGCTGGAAGAGAAAGAGAAAAAGAAACAAGAGCCCGCAAGTGATAAAACTGCGGAGCCACTACGGACTGACGACCTTTTCTCTGCTGCCTGGCAAGTGGTGAGCCGTAAGGGGAAAGGCAAGGCACCCAAAAAGGTGACTTGCCGACCTGACGGACCATCAGGAGGGTCTATCCCTGCAGGCAGTAGTGGAAAGGCCAAAAAGAAGAACAAGAAGCAGCGGGAAAAAGGCCGTAGAGAACGAGCCGCTTTGGCTGCTTCAGATACCAAAACCAAGGAGGCTGGGCAAGCTACTGCGACTGAGGTGCTTGGCGCTGGAACCAGTAGCCGCGCTGAAGCTGGGAAGGATAAAAATCCAGCCCAAGTGGAAGTCGCGGACGCGGGAACCAGCTCTAGGATATCCGCCAGGAAGCAGCGAGCGGCCAAGCGTCCTGGGAAGAAGGAAAGAGCAGCCAAAAGGATGCTGGAAGAGTCCACCTCGCCTAGAGGTGAACACAAAAAAGTGAGACTCGAACAGCAACCAAAGACTGCAAGAACGAGCTACGCTTCCGCTGCTAAAGCAGATTTGGGTGTGGCCTTAACGTGTGCGCGTTCAGGTCACATTACGAAGGAAGTAGCAGACGACATCCTCGTAGCAATACAGAGGAAGATGATCAGCGAGGCCTGGAGTAGCCAGGACCCTGATGCGTCGGGCCCAGTTTTTTAGGGGCAAACCCGTTTATACGGAAGGTGTCCTGAAACTGTGGTGCGACGATCAGAAGGCTCTGGACTGGTTGAAGGGGAACATTGCTACCCTCGACCTTAAATCCAGCACCTTGCTGACAATAAAGAAACAGTCAGAGATACCACAAAGAGTCAAATGTGGTATCCTTATCCCTGATGCCCAGGGGGCCTGGAAAGACTCACGCGACATTGGTCGCGTGTTGGCGTACCAGAACCGCTGGGTTAACATCAGGGACTGGCTGTTACTCAAGGCAGATAAGCAGACGGACGGGTGGTTCCTCGTTGTTTCGGTGCCGGAGGATCATATCCCGACCCTGATGAAGGCCGGACGCCGTCTCGCATGTGTATGCGGGGCGGTATACGTAAAATTCCAGGGTCGTGGAGGCAAATTCTTTGATACTCCACCGAGCAAAGAGGTAGAAAACAACCCGGAAGTTATGGATACCGAAGCCATAGTTACCGGTACAGCGGAATCACTGGAGGCCAAGTCCAGTGAAGAAACGGCCTGCACAATTGAGCCGAAGCCCCCAGTGGAGATTGGGCTCAGCGGCAGCTCACTGAGTGACGAGGAGGACTGCATTTTGCCGACCACCTCCGACTCGGTGGCTGACGATGAGACCCGAGATCTGCTGGCAGGCCTATTTTTGGGCGGGGACGGGGAGGACGCGATCAATGATGGCGTGCCCTTCGTCCAAAACTAGCCTAGTGCAGGCCAACCTCCACCACAGCGAAACTGCGTCGGCTCAATTACGCAAGTGGTTGGAGGTTCAAAGGACTGCCATAGCCTTAATCCAGGAGCCATGGGTTGGGGCTGGTAAAATTAAAGGCCTAAACAACCTAAAAGGTAAGTTATTCTACAGCTCTGAACACGACAAGCCTAGAGCGTGTATTTACACTACTAAAGATATCTGTGCACAACCTTTAACAGATTTCTGTTCTAGAGACATGTATGCCGTAGCAATACAGTACACACAGGAGAGTAGATTAGTCGTCGCCTCGGTCTACATGCCGGAGGAAGACACTCCTCCACCTCATGACCTCAGCAGGCTGGTGAACTTCTGCGAGAGGACCGGACTAGAGGTTGTGATCGGGACGGACTCCAACGCACATCATCCCCTTTGGGGAATGGAAAAACCAAATGAACGAGGTAAAGTTTTAGTTGAATATTTATTTAGTACTAACCTAACCATTTTAAACATAGGTTCTGAACCTACTTTCATAAACAAACGCTGTCGCACTATAATCGACCTCACACTTGCAACAGAAGGAGCAGCCAAACTAATTACGGGATGGCATGTGTCGAGAGAGGCCTCATGCTCAGACCATAGATGGATCTGCTTCGCATTACAGGTCGATATCCCCTCTACACCACCATGGAGAAATCCCCGCAAGACAGATAAAACTAAATACCTAAATAGGCTGACGTCTTTGCTAGCGGATTTTGAGGGGATAAATACTATAGCAGATCAGTCGCTCCTAGAAGAACAGGTAGCAGCTGTTACTAAGGCCATGATAGACAGCTACCATGAATCATGTCCAGAAATCACTCCACCAAGACATGCCGAGGTAAAACAACCGTGGTGGGGTAAAGAACTCGATAGAAAACGTAAGAAGGTAAGAAAAGCTCTAAATAGGGCCATGAATACCTCAATGGATGAAGACTGGCTATTATATAAGAAAGCTAAGTCTGAATACAAAAAATGTATCAGGTATCGACGCTCGATTGGGTGGCGTAAATTCTGTGGCAACATAGAAACCTGCAAACAAGCAAATAGGATTAGGAATATTCTAGCTAAACAGAACACGTCGGGATCCATGTCTCTAAAGAAACCCGACGGTAGCTACTCAACATCGCCGGATGAAGCCCAACGCATCCTAATTGAAACGCACTTCCCAGGTTGCTGCGTAACCCAGGAGGCAAACCAGCATGACGACATACTGACATCAACAGCAGAAGACTGGAATTTAGCACAGAGAGTGGTAACGATGGACAAAATCCATTGGGCCATTCACAGTTTCCTCCCCTATAAGGCGGCAGGACCCGACGGCATATTCCCGGCACTCCTACAGTGGGGGGGTAAAGCCCTAATAGTCAGACTTGCTGCCATAATGCGAGCCTGTCTTGCTCTTAAATATGTTCCTAGGGGATGGAGGGAAGTGAAAGTTACATTCATACCCAAACCAGGAAAGAGCGACTACACTGACCCTAAATCCTACAGGCCCATTAGCCTCACATCCTTTCTCCTAAAGACGATGGAGAGGATGTGTGAAAGGGAATTAAGGGGGTCGGCGCTAATGAACTTACCACTACACGACAAGCAACACGCCTACAGTCTAGGCAAATCAACAGAATCGGCCCTTCATAAGGTAATTACAAAGATTGAAGAGGCCATCCAAAACAAAGAAATATGTCTAGGTTCCTTCATAGATATAGAAGGTGCTTTTGACCGAACGAACTTCTCCAGCATAAAAGGTGCACTCGGTAGACACAAAGTTGAACCGGCACTGATCGACTGGATAGTTTACATGCTCAGTACACGAATAATAAAGATTGCTGGTGAATCTCAACCAATCCAAATTAAGAAAGGCTGCCCGCAGGGTGGGGTTCTCTCACCTCTCCTGTGGAATATGGTCATTAATGAACTCATCAGCAAATTAAATGACAATCACTTCTATACAGTAGGTTATGCTGATGACCTGACAATACTGGTCTCTGGAAAGACAGCAAGCATAGTGTGCGACCTGACCCAAGCGGCTCTCCGTATAGTGGAGAGATGGTGCAGGGAACACGACTTAACTGTCAATCCAAATAAAACGGTTTTAGTTATGTTCACACAAAAACGAAAGCTGAATAACTATCATCCTCCAAGTCTTTTTTAGCACAAAACTCCAGCTATCCTCTGAGGTAAAATATTTAGGTCTTACCTTGGACAGCAAACTTAACTGGAATAAACACATAGAAAACAAAATCAACAAAGCTAGTATAACTTTCTGGCAATGCAGAAACATGATTGGCAAAAGATGGGGATTGACGCCAAAAATCATACTGTGGCTTTACAAAACTGTAATTCGGCCCATGATCACATACGGCGCTCTGGTATGGTGGACCAAGACAAATGAAGCCACCATAATTAAAAAGCTTCAGCGCTACCAGAGACTGGCATGTATGGCTGCTACAGGCTGCATGAGAACTACGCCAACAGCAGCCTTAGAAGCGATGCTGGAGCTAACTCCGCTTCATCTACATATACAACAAGAAGCGACTTTAGCTGCCATCAGACTCAAGACCCTAAATCTTTGGAGTAAGAATAGTGTCCCTCATACAGGCATAATTGATAGAATTCACTCAAAAATTCCTATCCTACAAGCCAAATACGATAGGATTCCTAAACAATTTGTTTTCGATAAGAAATACAAGATACAGTTAAATGAAAACAGCCAGCCGGAAGGATTAAGCCCAAAAGAGCTTAGAATTTTCACCGATGGTTCTAAAACAAATGAAGGTGTAGGTTGTGGAGCTTTCTCTGAAGACCTCAATATTCACATATGCACACCGCTGGGTACCTATAACACGGTCTTTCAGGCGGAATGTATGGGTATCATTCAAGCGGCCATAGCAATAAATGCTAGGAAGGTTAATGACTTCCCCATCAGAATACTGACCGACAGTAGGGCGGTACTCCAAGCCCTGAGATGCAATGTGGTGAACTCGGGACTAATATATGAATGCCATCAACGATTAAATGAGGTATGTAAAAACAACAATGTGACCCTGCAATGGATAAAGGGACACAGTGGATCCAGAGGCAACGATGCAGCAGACGAACTTGCCAGAAGAGGATCGGCTTTGGCCACTATAGGGCCGGAACCGATCATACCAATCCCCTTTGGTAACGTTTGTTCACTGGTACGTAGACACTTTACTAATCAACACGCTCAGCTTTGGAAAAATCTAGTAGACTGTAGACAAGCTAGGGATGCCCTGCCTGAAATTAACAGTCGCTTAACAAAAGTTTTAATGAGACTGAACAAGCCGCAGATTAGGATAGTAACAAGTGCTATCACAGGACACGGCACCTTTAACAAACATTTATTTACTATAGGTGTTACAGATAGTCCCCTGTGCAGGGCATGTATGGGGGAGGAAGAAACGGCGGCCCACGTGCTACTGAAATGTCCGGAGGTCGCTACATACAGGGCTAAACATCTCGGCACGCCGGGATCACTCCCCGAAGTTGCATGCAACATCAAGGGCCTGTTGAGCTTCTTCGGAGAGATCTCATGGCTCGAATAATCACATTATTCCTGCCCACACGCAAAATACGCGCATAGACGTGGAGTTGCGGAAAACAGCCCGTCGTAAACTAAACTAAACTAAACTATGGTTGTAGCACGAATGGGTCGGCTCGACCGGGAAGGACCACGCTCTCACGGAACACCAACGTAAAATAGCAGCTTAACGCTTTCGAATGGTGAGTGTAGAACAGGCAGAACCGGAGAAACCTTTTTACTGGAAACGAGGCATTACATCTTAGTCCTCACGGGTGACAACGCATCTGCATTTTGATTCGTAATCGAGAATAGATGTATGTCTATGGGCCGCAGCAAACACTTACAATCAAGTGGACTGTGTGCTCGTTTGTCACCCTTATCCTATAAAAATATCATCAAGTTATCTATAGGTGTTAATCTCTATTTGATCGTAAAGTTTCATCACAATCGGTTTAGCCATTCCGAAGATCTGAAGGCCGGATAGACTGACAGACTGTCAGACAGGAGAAATTAAAAAAAAGGTTATTCATATCCATGTGGTATGCAAATAACTCCATCAGCTCATAAAATGCAGTTATTTCTGTATCAATATTACATCGGAGTAAATCCTATATGTATATAGCTTCAATTTTACTTTATAGAAGCTAACCCTAAGCTTCCCACCTTTTTCTCAACCCTTTTGATATCTACTTAGGACGGTGAATTCTATTATTAATAAATAAATGAATTCACCGATAAAATAACATAAAAAATAGAATAAAATCTCTTTATTTCGGACAAACATCCATAATTGTTAGTAGGTACAAGGAAGTTGTAGCTATGTTAGTAATAATTAGGTGCAAACACGAATAATTCACCCTGTGTCCCATAATAAGACAACCTGGTTTGTCACTAATAGCCTTCAGTATGGTGTTGGAGCTACCACGTATTCTGCGCATGAGCTAGGCGATGAAAATAACATAAAAGCATCAAAACGAATTTTAGTAAGCAAATTTGATTCATTGATAACATCTGAAAACGTTAACCTTGATATACAGTATTTAAATTTATTAACATTTCCTTCGTAATAGTCTCGATTAATAATATAGTACTTTAGGAGTATTCCTTTGTTAAATACAGGAACATGTAGCATTTGAGCCATGTCATGATCCGATAGGGCAACTGGTAATCACTCTGCAGTAGCATCAATCACATTACTAAAGATCAGATCAGTCATAATCCGATAGAGCAAGTGGTAATCAATCTGCAGTAGTATCAATCACATTACTAAAGATCAGATCAAGACAGGAGTTCAATCTAGTTGGTTGAACTAAGTTTTTAAGAGATTACGCAGTTTTTTCTGTGATTTTGTTTTCCATGATATTAATATTAAAACCACCCACAAATAAGAACTTACTCTTAGTACTTTTATTTAAGAATTTCTAAAAGAGATATTCAAGGTTTTCAAAGAACAAGTCTAGATTAAAATAGTATTAGTAGTAATAGAGTCGTATACTTAGTTGCTACGATTAACCTTCTTTGCTATCGTCAGCCCATAAACAGTTGATTGTTGTACACCGGCACCTCACTGTAGAGGGGATTTGGAAGGATTTTCTACAAAAAAGGGCCTCCGATTCACTGCATTCACGATACGAAACATTAGCATTAAAGCCGGTATAAAAAAATCTGTGAGAGCGTGGTTCTTCCCCGGTCGAGCCAACCCATTCGTGCTACAACGAGACCACGTTTTCATACGTACACAAAAATCCTGTCTAGCGCAGATGGCTAGTCTCCATTGAGTATGGCCACTTCGTAGCAATCGCCATGATCGGCTGGTAGTAATATGCCATACTTATGGTGCTGCTCCCCATCGCCCTTGTTTTTCAATTTATTTCCTTGGCATTTCTGAAACCACTCTGATACATATAGAATGAGATGAGATGAGGGACATCATAAGATTATGATGTTGCATAATAAGCTCAATGTAATGCTACCGTGTTGTGGTGGTGTAAAAATATCCACTAGCGCATATCGTCCCGTGGGTGTCGTAAGAGGTGACAGAGGGAAATACATCAGGAGTGGGCAGCAGCATCTTCCTAATAACAACTCAAAATAATAAAAATACTGCAGTTAGCAACGCGCCCGCCAAGTGCGGTAACTATGGCAAAGTCCCCTATGAGGCAATGAGGGCATCCACGACTTTTTCTGCCACCAGGGCGGCGCCACTAGAAAGATATTTGACAGATTTCATAGCGGGGGAAGTGTATGTATAGAGGTCAGTGGGAGAAGTTAATTTGTTAGGTAAATGTTATTGTCTCTTTCTGTACTATTAGCTATATTTTATATTAATAAGATTAAAAGTAAATAAACCAAACCACAGATATACATAAAAGCAGCAAAATTAAAAAAAAATGATAAAAATGTGCAAAACATTAAAAAGCATACCACTGAGGCATTGTTTCGTGTATTAATATAATACTCTAGAAACTGATAAACTTTTATTTAAAACCAACTTCTCAATTCAATGACATTGTGTAGCAAAAAACTTTACCTCAGTGTCAACTAGCGACATCTGGTGAGCAGAAAATTACTAGCCCTCGTTTATTAGGGAGGCCTTTGTTTAGCAGTGGACTTTTATAGGCTTTAATGGATGGATATTTTGCTAAAAACCTATGTCACTGTTATAATTTATCCTCTTGAAAGACAAGACAGACAGACTCTCTGTAAGGTATTTTTACGCGGTAGAGCCACGCGGTAGCTATATGGGTAGTAGTACGAATGAGTCGGCACGACTGGGTTAGGACTACGCTTTCACAGAATACCAGAATAAAATAGCAGCTTTATGCTGCTTTGTTTCGTATGATGAGTGTAGAGAACCGGAGACCCTTTTTACTGGAAACGAGGCATCATTTCATCTTAGTCCTCAAGGGTGAAAATACATCGGCAGTTTGATTCTTAATTGAGAAGAAATGTAGATTTATATGGGTTACAGCATCCACTTACCATCAGGTGGACTGTGGGCTCGTTTGTCACCTTTATGCTATAAAAAATGTATCTGCTTGCAGTGACGTCTTGTCTTGTCTACTTCCCTTTAATATGATCGAGGAGGGAAATGTCTGCCACTTGATACATACTCGTGAAGACGTGCTACTTGTTGGGGTTGATCTGCTCGGATTGGGTTTACACTGATAAGCTCCAAATTTTGAATCTTTTTTTTTTAAGTACTTTCTAGAACACGCTTCAGTTACCAATGATTCTCTTATAGATTTCCCTTCTAAATAATATATAATGCTATGTAATATTTACTATAAAAATATAATAGCATCATCATTATCATCATTACAACTTTTCATAAGTCCACTGCTGAACATAGGCCTCCCCCAAGGAATGCCACAAAGCACGGTCCTGAGCCACCTGCATCCATCGACTTCCTGCATGTCTTAACAGGTTGTCACTCCATCTCGTGGGAGGGTCGCCCTACACTTCGCCTACCGGTACGAGGCTGCCATTCAAGAACCTTTCTTCGCCATCGGTTGTCGGTTCTTCAAGCTATATGGCCGGCCCACTGCCACTTCAGCTTACTAATCTGTTGGGCTATGTCAGTTACTCCGGTTCTACTGCGGATATCC